ATACAATTTATATGATATAAAGTACATTTTTTTTCCAAGACTAATGTTTTGCTGTTAGAGTGCGCCCAAAAGGGGGGCCCTATTTCCATATCTGAAATTTACAATATAGAAAAAAGTTTTGATCGCTCCACTAATTTATTGTGGCAATTTTCATTATGCAAATGGCGAAGCGCTTTGAATCCTTTAATTAATTTCATTCCTTTTATTTATTACATTATACAATTTATATAATATAAAAACTTCTCCTGAGATTTATCAGTGTAAATAATTAATAATACAATAAGTAACTCGATCTTGACATATTTCATAAAAACGGTCAAGAGTGGGATACTCTTTAACATCGTAAAATTGGGATCTGATGTCATCGCATATTATTTTGGCTGCTGCTTCGACTATTCACAGCCTCTCTTCTACAGATCTACACTTCTGTTGGTAAAATGTGTCATTCAATATCTTCTCTCCTATATTTTTAAAACAAATCACAGTCTGCATATTCTTTGGAAAGGTGAACAGTATGTCATCACCATACTTTTCTTCAAGTCGAGCTTTCACTTTCCTTTGATCTGGTTTGTAGTCACCTTTTATTTGGGCCATCAGTTCTTCCATTGAGTACTGGCACTCATCATCACTATTTTCTATGTATTTGTATATATGCTGCATTGCTACATCAATTACCTGAGCAGGTGATCTTTTCTGTAGCCCGTCTGTGTTTAGTGTTCGTACAATAAGTTCTATTCGCCACTTTTTGTGATATTGCGCATCATATGCATCCAAATCGGGTACATGCTCAATTTGGTGTAAAACTACCTTTCCAAATTTATCATCACAATCTCGTGCGTCCTTCATAACACTTTCTCTCTATGAAACATTCACCAAACAAATGCATTTTGTTCGTTTGTATCCATTTTTTAATTACCTTCCCTATATTCATTATTCATGTAATGTAATGTAACCCGTGAATGTTTTTTTGTTGCACCCAAAGAAGAAGATAAGTTTAAAAGTTACCTATACACTGTATAAAATAGTTTTGAATATAAAATAAAATATGTACTGCATAAAAAGCAGTATGTGTATAAAGGATTAATTACAAGTAAATAATAAGAATATTTTTAATAAAGAATTTGAGATTGATATTTTTTTTTCTTTAATATACATTTCCAAAATTTGGCGGCACACTTTAAGAATGTTGGGGCACACAAAAATGCCGTGTCACACTTTAAGAATTTCACGGCACACAAAAATGCTGCGGCACAGTGATTGAGAATCATTGGGTTAATCTTCTGAAAAAAAACTGTTATTTATGAGAAATGTACTGTTATATAGTATAAATTGTATAATGTAATGAATTTTTGCAACATTAAAGTACCATAGCAAGGGTGATTTCTGTGTAAACGGTGAATTTGACTAGATATTGTGGAAATATGGCCCCTTTTGGGCGCGCTCTAGCGGCGAAACTGTTAGCCTTACAAAAAAATGTTTTGTATAGGATGGGTTTGTCGAAAAAACTCTTCCTTTTTGAGATATCGGCTGAAAACTGAAAAAAGTGCCAAAAATAAACAAAGTTCCGGGTAAAATTTTTGCCAGCAAACTTCAAATTCGTGTTCAGATAGCCAAAAAACATAAAGGGTGAGAAATTCAAAACTATGGCAAAACTTGTTCCTGAAAATCCTTATATGCCTAGCCTATGACTATGGTTGCTTACAATTTGAGATCTCAAAGCTCTCATGAAGGTATACCAAGTTTAGATTTTTGTCTAGCTGTCCAGCAATAGTAATCTCTTGGTACCAGTAATGTGTTGTCTGTCACTTAACCTCCTTTCTGTGCTTTCCTCCATTCGCTTCTTCATTATCAGATCAAGAATGTCGTTTATTGTTTGCTTTTTTAAATTATTCTTCCATTTTTTATTTCTATGTCCTCTTTAACTTCCTTCATGAATCATTCATTTCTTCATCTCGTTAATTCTCAATAATTAGATTATATGTATTTTGGCTTATACCTAAAATAATGAGACCAAAGCTTTAAAGTAATTATCTGTGATCTGTTGAAATATATTATTTTGGGATGATTATTATGTCGTAATGAAGATAAATTCTCTCTTCCCTTCTCCCTCTTAATATTCATTAATATCTATTGAGATAAAATTTGTATGAAAATGATTTTTTTCACATTCAATGATATTATATTTATGGTTTCAGATCATCACCATAAATTTCTTTAATGACATTATTGCATGGATCTTTAAATTTACCTCTTAATATTTATGTGGAAGTGGTGAACTTTATACTTAAATTAATTTGGAGTCTTGATACAGTTGCATGTGGAGTTTACAACGTTCTTTTAGTTTTTAGCTATTTGCTATTATTATTAATATATTTTGTAAATTAATTTTTATTAGCATGTTATTATTTTTGTGTATTTTAAGGTTTTTAATAATATATCACTGTTCCTTGTTTTATTTCTGTTATTTATGATCTTCAGTTATTGATATGTTTGTATTTTACTTTTATATTACTAATGATAAGTTTGTTTTTTTTATCATGTTCTTGAATGATTAATTACCATAACAATTTTAAAGTGTAGTTATTTACTTATTTGCTTGTTTTAACCCTTGCTTTTAGAGTAATGTTAGTTTTACATTGTTTGATTTTTTAAACTAATTGGTAGAGATATTACATATCTAAATATATCAAAGAAAAATTAATTTTTAATTATCAAACTGTTATCAATTTGATACAAGGAATGCCAACGAAGAATAGAACATTTTGAGTTTAACAAATACTTGTTCAAAATCTTGATCACCTTCAATCGGTTATCACCTCCTAAAGCAACAAAAAGCTTTGCCTTTTAGAACAGATTTTATCGTATCTTCAATAAATATATTACTTATATTCCTCATATAATAACTATAAAAATGTTGTTATTAATGATCGCGGTTGTAAACTATATCAGTTAGTCAATTAATAAAGTAAATTGTGTTCGCCTATTATAACCATAATTGCTATAAGATAATCTCTTTTATTTATGTGAAATTAAATATTAATAAAAATGAAAAAAAAAGTTAAATTTTATATTGTTAACTGAACTGTACAAATTGAAAGTAATAAAAATAAGTCATTAAACTTATTTCTAAACAGAAGAGAAAATTTATTTTTAAAAAAAAATGTTATGTTTATGAAATATATTAATTATGGATTGATGGTTGACTGTAGTGAATAATTGAAGAGAAGATTGGCGAGGGTGATCAGTAAAAGTAATGTAATAAGTATATTTATTTTTACTTTTGCCGAAGTTTTGGCCCAAAATTCAGACCTTTATCAGGGCTGGTCAAACCAAAGATTGGTTGTATTGCGGAAATCTTTTGTGTAACTAGTCCTGATGATAGCCTAAACTTTAGGCCAAAACGTCGGCAAAAATAAAAATAAATATATTTATTTATTTATTCTTTTTTTTTTTTACTGATCATCCCAACCAATCTTCTCTTCGAAATATATTAATGTTTATATGAGCCGAGAAGACAGAACTCTAGGTTTTTAACAGGCTAAGATAACTTTCCCTGTGAACTCGATGAGTGGAATGCCTTCAAGAGTAGGCCATTATGGTCTGACTAACCTAATGTCTATGTTTTATATGTATTTATAAATAAAATAAAAACTCATGAAAGTTCTTGGGTTCATTGCTTTCTAAGGAAATACTATTTTTATTTAGTACAGCAGTTATGAAACAAGAATATTTGGCCAGGATCACAATCAAAAACCACATCATAACTATAAAATGTTCAAAAATTTAAGTAAAAAAAAAATTATATATTTTCCCTAATTTAAAAATATCTACTTTACAAGGGTTGGTTGTATTCCAAAAGGGTTTTCTAACCAAAATTATTAAACCCATATTTAATGATTTTAGGTTTTGATATAATTATTTTCATTCGTTTTAATTTTACATATTGTCGACACCATATTAAAGTAACGATTGTGAAAATCATTTATTTTAAATTTTGTTTGTTTACCATAGTACTCCATGGCAACCTCGTGGGAAAATGTTGAATCTGAACGACGACCAGAAGACCGGAATCAATAATATCATTTTTATATATTTGTAGCTTTGTTAGATATGCATATGTTGTAGTAACGAATAATGACAATTGAAAGTTTACATTGGGCAGATTCTCACATTCATTTCTTTAACATGGTGGCAACAATATATATCTTGAATTTATGTTGTTTTTTTAGAAACTGGTTATCCTCTTCCTGGTATTTGATGATAAACCTGTAGGTTTCTCAAAGTTACATTTTTCTCTCTCCTCACTACTTAGTGGTTTTCTTAAAAATTCCTTTAACATCATATTTTACTTTATATTGAAGATGTCCCCATCATTTTTAATTTACATCTTTAAATGTTAAGAATGATATCATATCGCTCAATCTAATAAACAATAAATTATTAAAACACAAAATTAAATATTTATTTTATACAGGTATGTTCCTAAGTAGTAATTTTTTTGATAAGCACATACCTTTCCCCAGTGTACGACCTTCTGTGATGGAATGGTCTGTCGTACCCTTAGGTGTCCATTTTAAGTAGATTTCACTGGTATATTTTTGGCACTGTATGGTAAATGGTCTGTATACTGAAACCTCATTTCAAAAGCCTTGAATACAATCTGCTTTTGTTTTATTGTGTACATGTATGTTTATTAATATCATATATATTAACACATAAATAAGAATAAAATAGATAGTAATATAGAAGAGAAAAAAGGATACTAATTACCAAAAATTATAGTATTAAAAAGTAATTCCATAAAACATTTGAAATATTAATATGAAGAATAAAATATAAATGAAAAAAAATAATAGTTTTAAAAATTAATTCACTTCAGCTACCAACAATTATAATTTCTTTTTCACTTGATAGTAAGAAATCGATAATAGCATTAACTAGTGTTTATTTGTGTATTTGGTGCTGATTGTTATAGAGTTTGTGGTTGTGGTTTGTTTAAGATTTGTCCACTCCATCATCTGATTCATCAGTGGGAGATCTAATACCTGAACATGATGAATCGTCTAATGATACTGTTGATTCATTTATGATTACTGACAAATTAGAAAAAGCTGACAATTCAGAAACAGATTCTGAAGCGGATGCGCTTAGCTTTAAAAATACTCACTTCAATGGAAACTCTTCTGAAGAAGAAGCGTCTTTAGTGAGAGACCTCTCATTTCCTGACATCGGAAGTTATTCCACTCGTCCCTCGAGTACCTCAGGGTTTACGAGTGCTCTGACTGGAGTTATATACAAAACTTTTCCTACTATTTCAGGTAGACTTCAGTTTAGGGCCACTGGAGAAGGAGTCTTACCTCCACCGTTGGAAGAAGATAGTGACAGTGAGTTTGAAATTATTGATGAAGATTCATAAAACTAATATCTTTTTTTTTCTATGTATAAAAAATGATTTTCGAATATTTTTATATCTCCAAAAAATGTATATAATTGTTGTACCTGTTCCCTGATCTCCTTTTCTCCAATCATTTAGACAAAATAAGAGCACAGTTTATTTCATTTCTGTAAATATTGAGAATTCTAGATGGGCTTCATTCTAACTGTTATCCTGAAATAGTTTATATAGCAGTCATACTATAACTGTTTTATCTTTTAATCAATTTTTTAAAAAATAAATGACCAATTCCAAAGATTTTCAATATTTCAAATTTACTAGTTTAGTTTGTTAATTTTTTTTTTTTTAAACTCTGGTATTACTGAAAAGAGACTTGGAAAAATATCCCATTATTTTGTGTAATTGTATTTTTTAAGTGTGTTATTTTAATTTTATTGTAGTTAGCTGATACCAGGTAGCAGAATTTTTTATCTTCAATACTAGTTCTACTTAATTAATAATAGACATAATTATGCTACTTATAAATTTACACTCAGCATTACAATATTAATGGAACCTATATTATACACACATATATATGTATATTCTGTAAGGAAATAGTCTATAGTTGTATCTCCTAATACTCGCATTGTTTAACTCGAAGATACCAGAATTTTAACCTCTGCTATCTGATTGCATTTTTTCTTCTTTATACTGTTTTTTTTAATGATTTTAATTACAATTGACTATTGATAATTTGCATGAGTTTTTAAAAATTATGAAATGTCTTAGCCTAAGTAGTTCAATTGGCTAGATTGATTTAAAAAAAAATCATTCTCGTCACACTTCAAAAGTGAAAAATAGGCAATAGAAATTATCAAAAAACTTAATTTTATTTTTAATTTATATCTATGCTTCATTTATTCTACAATTGTGAAATATCATAATCATTTAAGGGATATTTCACATTAATAGTTGTGCCATTTTCACATATCCTATTTATGTCAAAAACATTTTTTTTTTCTATTTAAAGCATTTTTTAACTTATAAAGTGCATGCAGTGAATCCTTCTTTGGGGATATGTGGAAGAAGTATTTAAAGGAAATAAAAAAAAAGAATTGTGTTTTTTTTAACTTCAAACTAATCTGTGGAAGATATTAAGTTTATTGATAACTTAAAAGTATTTATTAAGTAATGAATAACTAAGAATATTACTGTACCCTAACTTGGAGCTTCTTTGACTTACTGAAAAAAAAATAATTTAAATTATACTTCGGTCTCTTGTTATCGACAATAGACATGATTTATAGTTTATTATAGATAGCTGCACTAGCGATAGTTTAGCACATTATCTCAATTTTTTTCAGTGAGGGTTCAAGTATCTCCAAGTTACGGTATATATTTTATTTGTGAAAAAATCAGATATATTTTATATACCTTCTTTTTTTTTTTTTTTTTTTTTTTTTTTTTTTTTGTCTGTGTTTCTGAGTATTTAATCTCCTCTTAATGGTGCTAGATATATTAATTGACTTGTGATTTTTTTATAGTGAATGTATATAGAAAAGTATTTCTACTTAGTTCATAGACATTTGATATAAATGTGAGTTAGACATTTTAATTATTGCTGGAATGTGATTACTTTTAGTTTAGTACATGTGTTTGTGTTTTAATTTTTAACAATTGAGGTCATATGGTAAAGGTTATAAATAATATTGTTTTATTTTTTATAATTTGGTTTGAAAAGTTATAGCCATCATTGTGAAAGTAGTTGTTAGGCTGGTTAATTTTGTTCACAGTTAAAAATGTCTCACACCCATAACAAATAAAAATTAAAAAAACAATGTCAGATGACCAGTGCCATAACATTAAAACAATTAGTTTTTGCTTTTTTTTTTAATTATTATTATTATTGTGATTATCTTATTTAAAGTGACTATATCCCAAAGACCCTTTTGTAAGTTTTTATATCTTAGTGAGGTTAACCTTGTACATATGGTCAGTCTTAATATATCTTTTCATATCAAGTAAATCTTTTAAAATGTGTTAAATATGCATTTTTGTTTTAAATGTAGAACTTCAGTATACTAAAGAAATGAAATTACAAATATATGTAGTTGGTATTCATTTATATAAAATGTACTTAATGTTAGTTTTTAAACAGTTCCTAATCATTTTTTTATAAAAGGTAAATTGATTCAAATAAGGATGTAATTGTGCATACTTGTTGAATAAATAAATGAGTCATTACTGATTTATATGTTTTAAAAATTGTTTCCTTGGTTAATTTATTATTGATTATAATAGTTATAAAGTGTTCTGTATATATTTTTAAACTTATTCCTTAGGTTGCTTTATCAGTTAATCAGCCTTTTTTCTGACAAGGGATATATTGATCTCCTTGATATTTGTCAAAACCATTCAGGTTTTCTCAATTAGACTAATGTTTCTCCTAAAACGATCTTCAGTCTCTTTTAGGAAGTCTTCTTGAAAGTATGGAAAAAATATCAGAAAGAAGTTAACTGTACCTTTCTAAAGAAAGGAGTCAGCATAATCAATATGTTTTGCTTAAATGATCTTATTCGAAGCAATGATCCAATTTTCGGCAGTGAAATAGGACATTTGAGTTTTTTGTTTTTATTAATGTATATTAACTTTATTTACTCACCCACACCTGTCATATGCAATGACAATTAGCGGGTCTGCTGTCGGTAAGTGTACAGGTAATGGCTTGATCGGCGTGATGGAGAGGAGTACCCAGTGGCATCCCTTCCTGTCTTGATTTTAGCATATTTTTAAGTGAGGAAATTCCTCTCCAGCTCCTTTTGAGCCTCCTAAGTGTGTTTTCGGGCATGTTAAATGTAGCCATACTTTGTATGTGTTAGTATGTCCATGTATGTTATTGTGAAATCGCTTGTAGTATGTCCATATGTGATCGTTAACTGTTGGCATTTTAAGGTCTTTATGTAGTGTAATGTTTGTGACGTACCATGGAGCTTTGGTTATGGTTCTGAAAGTTTTAGACTGAAAAGTTTGTAGTTTTTGTATGTGTGTCGTTTTGGCTGTTCCATAAATTTGTGAAGCGTAGGTCCATATGGGCTTAAGTAGATAATTGTAAGTGTTCAGTTTTTGTTTTAGGTTTAATTTTGAGCGTCTTGAGAGAAGTGAGTATAACAGTCGTAGTCTGAGGTTTAATGTTTTTCTTTTTTTGTTGATATGTGGACCCCATGTCATTCTTCTGTCGAATGTCAGTCCAAGATATTGTATTTTATCTGTTTGAGGAATTTCGCCATTGTCAAGGTAAATAGGAGGGCATGTTCCATGTCGAAGAGTAAAAGTGATGTGTTGTGATTTGTCTTGGTTGAGTCGAATTTTCCACAGTTTGCACCAGTCGTTTAGTTTTGTTAAATGATGTTGTAAAGTCTGTGTGGCATGTGTTGGGTTTTTATGTCTTGTCAGAATAGCTGTATCGTCTGCGTAAGTCGCTATAATAGTTCTGGCGCTGTTAGGGATGTCGTGTGTGTATATAATGTATAAAAGCGGAACTAGTACTGACCCTAAGACTGGTCTTATTGAAGAAAGTTCTGAGCCTTGGCAGATAGAGTAAAATCTGTCAGAAAGAAAGGATTGAAGTATAAGATAATAAGTAGGAGGGAGTATCCTCTTAAGTTTGAAGAGAAGACCCTTATGCCATACTCTATCGAATGCTTGAGCGACATCCAGAAATACTCCAGTTGCATACAATTTTTGCTCCAGTGCAGTTGCAATGTAGTCAGTCACCCTGTGTAATTGATGGATGGTTGAATGTTGTCGTTGGAATCCAAATTGATGGTCGGGTATTATTTTTCCATCCGTCAATATGTTCATAAGTCTTTTGTATAGTAGTTTTTCAAAGATTTTGGAACATATTGGGAGTAGACTAATTGGCCTGTTTGATGAAGGGGTGTATTTGTCTTTGTTTGGTTTGTGGATCATTGTAATGTGTGAGTATTTCCATTGTACAGGAAATTTGGTCGTTCTGAGTATTGCATTGTAAATAGATGTTAAGTAAACAAGAGCTTTTCTAGGCATTTTCTGAAGCACTTGAGCAGTTATCAGGTCATGATCAGGGGCTTTCTTTTTAGATAATTGTCTAATTTGTTCTGCAACAAGTTTCGGAGTGAAACAAGGTGGAGGTAATTCTAATTGTAGTGGAATGTCTAAAGTGTTTAGTACTTTTTCTTCGTGTTCAATGTTGTTGAAGTCAGTATGTGGAGTAAAAACAAAAGTAAGATGGATAGCGAATAGCTCCGATTTTTCTATATCTGACACGGCCCAGGAACCATCCTCGTTTCGGAGAGGTGCAGACACTTCACGATGATTTACAAGTTTTTTTGTATGCCTCCATAAGCTCAAATCGTCAGTAGAGAGATTTCTGATGTAGTTGTCGTAAATTGTAGTTTTATAACTTTGAATATGTCGTTTTAGTTCATTGTTAAGTCTATTGAATGTCCGTTTGTCAGATGGCAGTCGACCAGTTTGCCATACTTTGCGAGCTCTTCTCTTTGCCCTGATCAAATCTCTTATGTACTGAGGATATGTTGGAAGCCACTCATTTCTGTTGGACCTTGGGACAGAAGAAGACAATATAGCTTGTTGAATGCTGTTTGTGAATTTATCCACAGCTTCTTCAACTTCATATTCGTTCCTTAGAGACATTCGAATAGAGAGCATTTCGTTTAGCTTTTCTTGATATCCATCCCAGTCGATAATTCCTCCTACGAGAGATGGTCGTTTCATTGTAGTACATGGCTCATCATACAGTACTAAGCTGAGAAGAGAGTGATCAGAACAAAGATCGCAGCTTGCATTTTTAGTGTATGGTACAGTCCTTAGTCCTTTAGTGACGAAAAAATCAAGTAGGTCTGGTGTTTTCTGTCTTGAAATTGGCCAGTAAGTAGGTGTATCAGATGAGATCGTGTCTAATGAAAGCTGATGGATGGCAGACTTTAGGTTTCTTCCTCTAGGAGTACAAAGTCGTGATCCCCAGGACTGGTGTTTGGCATTGTAATCGCCACCAGCAATAAAACACCTCCCCAGACGACTGAAGAAATTGCAAAACATCGCAGGTGTGAGCACGTACCTCGGAGGACAGTACACTGCAGCAAAGGTAATGGTTTGGTTTTGGGTATATAGTGTAATGGCTGTAGATTGTATATCAGGTGTAATGGGTAAATGTAGTGAGTGGTGCTTTAGTGATGTTTTAATTAGTATCGCTGTGCCGCCGTGAGCTGTATTGTCTGGGTGATCGGTTCTGTATATTCTGTAACCGGGAATGTAAAATTTAGTACGTGGAGTTAAGTGTGTTTTGGTGATAAGGGCAATGTCAGTCCATTTTTCGTGCAAGTATATGTCAAGTTCAGTCTTATGTTGATTAACCCTGTTTGCGTTCCAAAGAAGAACGGACATGGAGCCCACAGTCAGCTGATTAGTTGCCATAGTCAGTGAATAAGACCTGGGTGACATGTGAAAGTTCTTGGAGGAGACTGAAAAGGGGCTGGATGAGATTATTTAACCCACTTACTAAGTTGAGTAGCTGAGCCGATGCTGGATGAATGTCAGCGAGAGGTTTTCCCTTTTTCATGCCTGAAAATCCCTGCTGTTGGTGACCTGGTACTGCTTCAGGCACTGTTCGTGGAGGTTGTCTCTTCGGATGCTGCGAATTTGATGTGAAGGAAGTTGAGTGAGACTGCTGAAGTTCAGGTAGAGGCGGAAACTCATGGATTGCTGAAGGTACGCTAATTTGTGTTTTGTCAGGGTTTTTCGATGTTTTCCTGGGATTTCTGGCTTCCCTTAATTCTTTTAACGTTTTACAACCCCTGTAATTTGCTGGGTGTGACCCTCCGCAATTGGCACACTTCGCGGCTGTTTCTCTTGGTTTGGTGCAAGTAGTACTGTCATGGTCCAGGCCACATCTCACGCATTTCAGAGCGTGATTGCAGTACGTTTTAGTATGTCCGTACTGCTGGCATCTGATACATTGTGTGATTATTCTCTTCTTTCTGGGTTCTTCAATTCTCACTTTCGTATAGTATAGAAATTCTACATCGAAAATTTTTTCATTGAAAGTTGCCTTTGATATATCTATGAAGAACATGGGTAATGGCTTCTTAAAACGTGATATTACGTTCACAACGTTAGTGGCTTCATAACCAAGACATCTAAGCTCATATTTAATTGTCTCTACTGGTGTTGCATGGTGAAGATTTTTTAATAATACTCTGGGGCTTCGATCTTCTGGTAGTTGGTATGTATGAAAATCAGCACCACCCTGCCTTAAACTAGCCACTAGTGTACGATATATATCTGCATTTTCGGGGTATACACTGACGCCTTTTGTTGTTGTCTTTAGCTTAAAACTATTGACACCGCCTACAGTTTGGAGGTATGAAACCAGTTCTGAGTAATTTTGAACATCGTTTAAGTGTGTGGGAGGAGGAACTATACGAGCAGGTTGTGTTATTTTAGGTTCTGATTCTTGTCCAACGTTGCTTAGAACTTCGAAACTGTTTTGAGTGATAGTAACCTCACTAACCTTTTTGAGTTGTTTTCTCGGGTCCCTTTCATTAGTTGTGATTGGTCTTTTCCTTCCGGTGACCAACTCCCATGCGTTTTCTCTCACCTCGTTTGGTCCTAAAGTGTCCATTATAACTGTTATGTTGTCAGAGGACGACGGCGTAGCCATTGTTGGCGGCGGAACCGATTCACACAACAGCGAAGATTCTATCTCTTCAAACTACTCTTTATCCGTGAACTTAAAAATGTTTTGTTTTTAATTGCATTTTGTTGAAAATTTCATTTAAAGTGATTTACCTGTGTTTTTTACCCAGATCTCTATTAATAAACTTCAATGTAATCAGTAGAGACTTACAGCTTATTAAACATGAAAGTTTTTTTAAAGTGGGGTAGCTGTAGTATTTTCTATAAAATGAATGTGTTGCTGCAAAAAATGTTCATTTACCTTGTTTAATCAAAGTGATGAAATGAACTATCGTACTTCGGAGGTGCTTCAAAACAAGGTTGCATCTGTGGACAACTTTGGATATTATGGGAGTGTAGTATATGTGGTCCCTCTTTTGTTAAAGATTATTAATATATAAGTCACTAAGAGAACTCAAATTACTACTTTGTGTGGCAATAATACTAAACTGTCTGCTGTCTTACAGTATATTGAAATTTAGTTATCTTCTGGCCTTCATTTACTAGCCCTGAGGATAGTAAAGTAAAAAAAAAAAAAATTTGTAGTAGCATTAGTAATTTTTAATAAACTTAATAACAAAAAAGTGTTTATATTCCTTTGTGTAAAATGTTAAACTATACAGATCTGAAATGTAAATGATCACAAAGTAAGAGAAAAGTTGGTATAACTGGAGATTGTACCATCTCCAGACCCCAGAATGCCTGAACTAAAGAATTGGGCTATATTCATATGTGCAACATTGATACAAAAAAATTAAAAAAGTTTACAAATTTATTTACTAAAACTAACAGAGGAATGATTGTCTAAATTATTCTTCCATTATCAACAAACGGAAAGGTGAAAGAGGGCGGCCCAGGAAGAGATGGTAGTAGGATGTGGAGGAAGTCATGTCTGCCAGCTTTTGTGTTATCAATAAATAAAAATATTAAATAGTATGTAAACAAAAATATAAATGGTAGTTTGTTCAAAACGGCTTATCTTCGAAAGTTATTCACCGATTTCTTTTAAATTTTGACACAACGTCGCAATAATATTTAGAAGTTTTTTTGTATACGTTTCATTATCATCGGACCTTCCCTTTCGAAATGGCGGCCGAAAAACATGATTAGTTTTAGACTGTAGCATCAATACTGCTTCAACGATTTCAATGAAACTTGGCTAAAGTCCTCACCTTGAAACCTTTATTATTTATATATATTATTTGCGAATAACTCAAAAAGTACACATTTTTTTTATTGATAATACCAATATTTATTTGAAAACTTCCTGAATTCCCTACAAAATAAAATCGAAATCGGACTATTAGTTGCAGAGATATATCATTTTAAACATTTAGTACGTTTTCTTTTGCAAATTCGATTTCCTTTACTTTCGATTTTTGATAAATCGAAAACTTTTCATTTACTGAAGTAATTGCGTCTATTATTTGAAGAGATGATATCATGTAATGTTAGTGGAATGATACCTCATAAAGCCATATGGCCCCATCACTAATTCTAACTGGTATAATATTGACTTTATATAATTGACCCCTGTGAGATACCCATTCTATATATTGCTTCAATAATGTTGAACGTTTGAAGGGCCCTTTATATAATAGTACATTTATTACATTGTCCAACGTTTCGACTTAGGGCATTCCGTCTGATACTGCTAAATGCAGTATGGTGATTGAAAGTGAGTCACTGCATTTTTCGACCACATCCTCGACTAACTTCTTCTGAAATGAAAATCCACGGTTAACCATCTCCATACTATTGAAAATTAAAATAATTAGTTCTATGATGCTATATTTTAATGATAAGCTTGAAATTGTACAATTATATTGAAATAATACAATTACACTTGCTGCGGTCTGTTTCTTGTTTTTCCTTTATCCCCTTGTTTAAAACTTTTCACTTCGATAATTCGAAATGTGCTTCCCTCAGAAATTCCAAACCCCATCAAAATGTGACCACCTTAAAACTTCTGATTTGCGCCACGAAATCTCCTTCTGGACACCTCCAACGTGATGTGAAGTAGGCTGAAAATTATGAACTAATGAATTAAAATCATTTGAGCTGATAGTTTCAAATGCGACAAGTTTAAAAATTGCTTTGAATAATATTTCAAAAAATCTGTGATATATTATATCCTTTACTTACCTCGATGTGAAGCTGAACTAATCGTTATAGATCGTCATGCTCAACTAGGTCTGTCAGGCAAATTCAAAATTATATGATTTTTTTTGTTAATGAAAATAGTGAATTCACTTTCATTTTTTAATTCAAATAAACTATTTGTTAAGTATCATATTTTATATTTTACTTATTGGTGGATATAATGTAAGGGTTCATTTTATTATTGCAGCATTACTGAAACTCCAATTTTTAATATAGTAATGCAGTATTTTTTTTTTTACTGTAATATTAAACTCTAAATAGTAACTAAATATGACAGCATTAACTCTTAACATTAATAGTTTATTTACTCTGAAATCTAATGAAATAAATTGTTTTCTAGGATACCAAGTTTCATGTGCAAGTATCCATGCATTCCATGTTGAAGATTATTATGTTAGAACTTAGATGGAAATATTTTCTTTCATATGAAAAGCCTTAACAGTGCATGAAAAAATCTTTTAAGCCGTGTTTGTGATTAATAGTATCAATTCTCGAACATCCTTAGATATTAACGTGATTAAGTTTGTGAAATAAAAATTATTATGATTGACAACATTCAAAACTGTGAAGAAGCCATCAATGAAGAGATAACTGACAATAGTGAAAAAAAGGAGAATGTTCAAGTATCTAATGAGTTGTCCAAAAGAGCTAGAAAGCGACTGCTAAAAAAGGAGAAATGGCTTAAGTATAAGCCAATTAAAAGGTATTTTACACAATAGAAAATTATAATGGTTTGATTTCTCATTCAAATTACAAATACTTAATAATATTTTTAGAGCAAAGGAGAGGGCCAAAATTAAAAAAAGAAAAGAGGAAGCAAAACGTAATAATGTTAAACTTGGACCAACTAGAAAAGAACTGAAACAACACAAAATGTCGTTAAGTTCGTGCAAAGTTAGGGTTCTTTTAGATTTTTCTTTTGATGATTTGATGAATGAAAAGGTAAAGAACTGTTTAGCGTAAGTAGGTCTTCTTAGATTTCTTCAATCAAGAAATTAATTAAATATATTCAACTAGTACCTAGTAGGTTTAGTAACTTGATGTTATTACTCCATAAGTGTTGCTCCAACATGATGGGCGGGCCCAAGATTTCATGATCACACTATAGATTGAATTTCAAAAGTAAGTCGAGAGGTGAACAAGATCTTCAAATCTTTGAAAGAAAAGTTCCTCGTAGGATGTTAGAAGTAAAAAAATAGGCATTAAATGGAGAAGATGGAGCAACCTAGAGCTTTTAGATATATATCGTGAGCCTGATGTTGCTCAAGTCCTATGAACAGGAAGGTTACGTTGAACTGACCATATGGCCTATATGGGAGATGAAGAGACGACAAGGAACATGTTACCTAAACAGCGGTACTAGTTCACAAGAGTTCCTCACACCAAATAATAGTAATAGTAAAGTAGAGAGGACCAAATTCTCAGGTAAGGACTCATTCCTTAAACATTTTAAGTGTGTGGAAGTCAAAAGCACTGATATTATTGAAGTTTATTAAGGCTTTTTCTGGAATTGACAAGAACAGTTTATGAGTTTGTGGAAGTTGTAAATTACATTCTAAATAAAGGGACATTGTAGTTGTGGTACCAATATTCTGCCGTTCTCATAATTCTGTTTACAGTGTGATCATGAGAACTTGCACCCATCTATCAAAATGGAAAAACACGTTCCAAAGTAGTAGTCATTTGAAAGAATATTATAGCGAAAGTGTATTTGAACAGTAAGAAGACTCTCAAAAATTAAAAAAAAAAAATGGAGATGAGCTTCTCACTCAGGCCTCGCTAAAGGTAGGGCTCCTTAACTGACAGGTTTCCTGAAAGTTATTAGATTTTCAGTCTTTTTAGGTAGCCCTACGAATAATCATATTATCTTCTGGTGTAATTTCAAATTATATAAGTTTTTATCATTTGTGTTTACCAACCAAATCATTTAATTCCAACTTATTGGAAAACAACATTTGAGGCATTAGATGATGTCTTAGATGACTTTTTTGAGAAATTATTGTTTTGTCTTCCAGCTTCCATGTTGGGATCTGTCATCACTTTATCCAGTAAACATAACAGGGTTGTAGTTATTAATTATTTGTTTTAATAGCATATGTACTGTAGCATAACATTCAATACTCTGCATGTTTTATGAAATTTAAATATATTGTGTGGGTGATTTAATGGTAATAATTATTTCATTCTTATTATTTGGATCCATAAAATGAATTTTTTTTATATATGTATATTTTTTTTTTAGGATCTTCACAAATGTATTAACCAATTCAGTCATTGTTACGCCATTAACAGACGATGTTTGAATCCTCTACAGTTGTATGTGGCAAATTTTAAAGGCAAAGCAAAGGATATAATTCAGAAAAACAATGGCTATAATAACTGGGATGTTAGTATGAATTTTTATGATCGATTTATCATAATTACTCCTCTGTCCCAACATTTGTGGAATTAGAAATTTTTATTTTGATAATTATATTATATTAGAGCTCAGTTTGAATTATCGATGCAATTATTCATAAGTGTTAAATTACAACTAGGGACTGATAATAATACTAAATATAAAACGTTGGCACTAATAAAAACCATAAAATGACTGCGGCCTGACTATTTATCACCCATAAATATAAATAATATATTTTAATTTAAATTTTTATTAATTGTAATGTTGAGAGTTACACCTAATTATACTTTATTATATAAATTACATAGTTGTTACGTTTGGGAGCTATCCTAACCTCTGGAACAAGCAGCTCAAATGCACTGGGGTATCTTCATTGGTTCTTGGTACCACCAGACCTTATTTCTGCTCTTTTTAATTATTAATTGCTTTTAAAGTTATTCTTTTAAATAAAAAAAAAACAAACTTAGTTTAGAGAAAGAAATCTTGTCAGGTACCTACATATTTTGTACACAATTTAGTGAAACTTATTTCCATATTATATCATTTGATCATTGATTGATATACTTTGTGAATTTCTCACATGGAGCAACTAGTTTTTTTTTTTTTTAAATTGTTTAAAGTTTGTAATATTGGCATTTATACCTAAGTATACTTGAAAAAGCCTGTGTGTCTTATTCCGTGTTAAAACAGACTAAGCAAAAATTCTCCCTTACAATATCTTATTTCTCCTTTAGTTATTTATCAAATTCTTTCATATTTTATATTTAACCATTTTTCATATTAGAAATTAATGTAAAATAGTCAATTTTTCAGATAAAAAAAAATTAAAGGTACTTTAGAGTAAGCTAATATTGAAAATTAGCTATTTAAGCCCTGTAAGAGTACATCAATCAAAATAATAACCACATTTTATTTAAAACTGCTTAATTTTACACTGATATGATGAATTTAATCAAAATCCTTAGAGCCATTTTCGAGATAATCGTAAAAATGTGGTTAGTCCATTATATAAAGTGCCACTTTTGGATAGCCGATTTTGACGAAAAAGTTGCTATAACATCCCTAGCATATAAAAACCTTAAATATGCAATTTCACTTCCTTACGACTTTTCGTCTTTCAGCGAGACTGTTAACACACACAGACCATTTTGCGGGACTTGGTTATTTGGACTCAGGGAACCTCAAAACGTGTATTTCCGTTGAAAACTCAGATTTAAAAATTTTCATGATCGCAATACTTACCATTACTATATATTACATATTCCGTAAGTGAAAGTAAACAACTGGTGAGTAGAAAGAATTGAATGATTTTCAGGGTGTCCAAGAATAACAGGAAACAATTTTAATTCAAAAAGCTTGATGCTCTACTGTAGTAGTACTTTAATAGAGTATCTCTGTGACTTATTGATTAATCATGTCTGTATCATTTATTGCTTCTACATATCTTGCATTACATGGTTTTGATAATTGGGGCCATGGAATTCATTAACGATAAAGAAGAGTCGATACCGGTAAACATAGTAAAATATGTTTTACTTGTCTTCTTAAGGACATTGTCAAGAAGATATAAGCATAAATCCCACTTGCTCCACCAATGCCCGCACCGGTACCTATTGCTAAGATACTTCTGAACGATATGTCATAGGTTTAATATAATTTAATTAATCAAACTGTTTAATAAATTATTATTAAAACTCCTTCAGTTTAAATCCAGTCTAATCATGTATCATGTGCAAATTTGTTATTTTAATTATAAGTCTTCTTATTTATGTGACATAAATTAATTTTAATTATTTAATTGAGGTAAAATTTTAATCAATTTTTAGGTAAATTTCCATACTGAAGATTACTGTGACATTTTTAAGAAAGAAGAATTGGTATATTTAACGAGTGATTCTGAAAATGTTATCGAAAGTTTAGATACCTCCAAAGTGTACATTATTGGAGCCCTCGTTGACCATAACAGTCAAAAGGTAAAATATTTGTTTGTTACATTGCACATTATCTCTGTATTTATACTAATTTAATAAAATTAAGTTTACCTTTTTTTTAAAATAATAAATAAATGAAATTTTAGGGCCTTTGTTTAAAAATTGCCACAGAACGTAATATTAGCCATGGTCGTCTTCCAATCGATCAATTCATTCAAATGAAAACTCGACAGGTTTTGACTGTGGATCATGGTAAACACCTCTGCCTTTTATGATTTTATAGCCTTTTCTTTGTATAGATTTTTTAAAACATTAATTCCTTATTTACAGTTTTTCATATACTTCTGAATGTCGCTGCTTGTGGTTTATCATGGAAAGATGCATTCATGAAAGTTATTCCACAGAGGAAGGGTATTTGCCCTAAATCTTCTTCTGAGCCAAGTTCATCTTGAAATATGTATATAAAAAAAGATAAGGTAATTGAATGAAGACAATGATTGGAGTTAAAAAAGATTGATAATTGTAATTTTAAAAATTGCAAACCTATTTTAATTAGTTATCATGGTTTATAAAGTACTCCCTCAATAATTATGCACAACCAGTACTAATAATTTTTGACAGTTGGATATAAAGCTCATAATTGTGTTGAAGACATAAATCAAGCTTTAATTATAATAGAACAATGTAATATAATAGCAAGAGAAGATGTTTGGAGGTTGTTTCATTCATTGAAATATTTAAAAAATTGTTTATTTTCTTTGAGCTGACATTTCAGGCTAAGCAGAGACAAGATTACAATATCATTATAAAAGGCGTTTTGAAGGAATGAACTGCCGTTCAAAACTTTCCATTTATTTATATTATTACAACGTTTCAAGCAAATTGGCTAGTTTTCAAGATATCTATCAAGTTTCTATATTACACAATTCTATTGTTTCTTCAGTCCAAACAATATAAAAAAAAACCTTGTTCTTAACATTTTATTTGTGTTTAATAAAATGTCAATTCATAAACCTGATGCTAGGTAGTCCCTTCTCTTCTATTGCTTAAAAACTTATTAAAACTAAAAAGATACAAATGATATGAAACATAGTACGTTATCTACTATAAATTAGAAACAAAGAAGTAAATAATTACCTTGTGCGAGATAAATTAAAATATATAAGGAAGGAGATGGTCCGGGGTGGCGGTCATTAATAGGCTATATAGTGGCAAAACAATTTTATTAAAAGCCAACGTTTCGATCTGACTTTGCAGGTCTTCTTCAGGGAGGTGTGTTCAGCTAGGAGTTTCACTTAGAACTCAAGTTGCAATTCATGTTACTTCCTCATCTAATCTAATCTAACTCCTAGCTAAAATATATAAGTACTGTTTATAATTACAAGTTATGAGAATATATATGAAATATTATCAACTGGTATGATAATACATGAAAATATTCACTAAGTTCGACTAATTTTCATATCATTTGATTTTTTATAATCTTTTTTTCTTTCTTATTATCAGAACGTTAATGTTAATACTTTGCCTTTGCTTAGCCCTAATGTAATCATAAAACTGAGGCCAAAATATCGTTATAAAGTAATTAAGCTAATTTTTTTAGTATTTCACCGATTGCAACCTTTAATCAACTTCTCTTACTAAAAGTTCCTATAGTCAACCATTTCTCCACCAATAACGATATTAATACTCGTTTTTATCAATTTTTATCATATAACTGAGGAAAATCTAAGTAAGGTTCAAAATCACCTTTAACTGCATTTTATTGAGCTTATCTATTTACGAGCATATTTATTAAATTGTTTACCTTTCTTTTGTTTGTTGGTAAAATAAAAATATCCATAACTCAAATGATGTAATTTTATATACAATATAAATGTTTAAATTTATTTTACATATTTAGCCATTGAAAAAAAAATTCATTTTAGTCATTTTTTTGTATTTACATGAATTCATGCTTCTTGAAATAGAATATGTGTACTGGTAATGTTATTTAATTATAATTTATTTTTGATATTGTATGTATTCAAGATATTTAAGTAAATGTGTTTATATCTTGTTAAACTATTAAATAAAGGATCTAATATTTTTGTATATATGATAAATTGTTATTAAGTTCCATTTTCCATGCCTATATGATAGTTTTAAACTGATTTTAATAAAAGAAACTTTCTATGCTATTAATTGTTTTCTACTATGGATAGGTGATTTATAAGTTATTGTATTAACACAAGTAAAGAAGGAAAAAAAAAAACAAGACAATTTTTATTTACCCTAATTCTTGTTACTATTTCTTATGTTAAAAATGATTACTTTTTTTTTTTTTGTAAAGACATTACTATAATGGGTGGTCAAATAGACATCTGCAATCACAGATAAGCAACATGGAGTATAGTATTTGGTGGGTGACCACCCATGAGGAAGTCATGCATACTGAGATTCTTTAGTTGATCGTATCCCACTTAAGTATGTTAGGCCCATTAGCCTACTAGATACAATGTGCCCTGCGATAGGACTTATGATTTCATCCTGTGTGTCTTATTCAGGGATGGCAACTTTGTTTACCAGAGGTTCGGTCTGTTTTGTGAGAAGAAATGTCTTGAATTTGCTGTAAGCTTGAATAGAATAACTGTAATTCATGAGTTCAGACTGATTTGTCTCTGTCCTTCACTCCGAGTTAGTTGGTTGGAAGGATACTGTAAATTTGGCCCTGAAGGCCTTATTATGAAGTCATGGTTAAGAACATGGGTCTTTGCCATATAAGCTTGAGGAAATCTTCCTTGAGGTTATCAGTCATGCAAGCAATGTGTGTTTGTAAGAAAACCATATTAAAACTTTAATTTTTTTTTCTCTCCTCTGGTTTGCTATTTATTGAATAATTACACTTTTAAGTATACTAATTCTCTAAAAGGGATCCCCCTAGCCTAAGGGTAATTTAGATCCCCACTGTATGTTCACAACCAAGTCAATGGGGTGGAAGATTTGAACAATTACTGAATACATTCTCCACCTACTGACATAATGTCCAAACTTTTAGGTGGCCAGGAAGGACTAAAAAATAGTCATTTAAATAGAACAATGAAGTAAAGTTGCTTATGTGGAATGATCAGCTTGAGAAAAAAGAAACTTGATTAAAAATGGTTCTTTTCTTTGAATAGTCTTTAGGAGAAGGTGCCATTATCAGAACTAGTTAGTTCACTGTATGAGATGAAGGGGGAAAACATATCATCTTATTTGAACCCAGTACACTGTACTAGTTCTGAGACCTGGTAGTGGTAAAGGATCTAAAACTATTAGCTGTTCCTAGCACGGGCGGATCTACGGGGGGGGGGCTTTCGGGCTTAAGCCCCCCCCCAAAAAATTGAAAAATATAATCATGTTTTATGGGAAAAGAAAATTTAAAAATACCTATTAAAATATTATCGTTCGTGTAATTACATTTAAAAGTACTTAAGGAATAACTTAAACACCATTTCATATAGGTAGTTAGTTTCTTGCTGTTTTTCCAAAGTAATTATCGTTATTTTTATGAAAAAAAAAAGGTTTCGGGCTGAAGCCCCCCCCCAAAATTAAATCCTGGATCCGCTAGTGGTTCCTAGTACATCTAGATCACACCCCCTTCTCCTGAAACTGCACCATAGGACACAAGGATCGTTCTTCACCATAACTTTAACTGAATGGTTCATTTGAGCTACTTCAGCGCCGACACATCCCTAATACATTTCTGTTAACGAAGTAGCAGCGGTACATATGACCGCTACAAAACAATAGATGTTTACATACCTCGGTACACCGAACTTCATTAAAATTAGAATCTTGAAGACTATTTTTTTATTAACTTCTTTCTTTTGGGTATTCGTCCAACATCGTATGAGCGTAAAGGAAATTTTTCGATTTTCATTTTTTAAGCTCAACTATGTTAACTTTCCATTAACTAGCTCGCGATGCAATTATTTCAATTATATGTACAGGATGCATGCATTGCGTTGTATTGTCTCCTAATTTCCATGCGAAACACCTTTCTTGGAGATATCATTCCTATAAACTAGCTTCCTCTTCGATTCTCCGAATATACTGAATTGAATACTTCTTCAGAGAACTCAAATTGCCATTTGAAAATCAGATATTTATTTATGTTCTTCACCTGTAACCAAGATCAATATTTTCTGCTTCGCTTATAACAATAATATCCTTAAGTTTCTCTCTTTAGTTCCTCAGCGTAGAGGAACATTCAGCCAGGAATTCCATTCTTCCCTATTTCTAGCTAGGTTCTTCGCCTATCGGAGGTCCTTCTCCCTCGACCTACAGAGTCGCTCAATGTAGTCAAGTTAGGACATTCTAGAGCGGCCCCTAGGTCTTCTGCCGTCTGGGACATATTCCATGGTCTTAAGAGGATCTCTGTGGTCGTCCATCCTGATAACATGGGCGAACCACTTTAGCTGACGAGTTTCTAGCAGCTCTTTCAGTGCGGCTGTCTGCAGTTCCTGACGAATACTTTCATTGGGAACTCGGTCTCTCCTTATTTTCCCAACCGTCCTTCGCAGAAATTTCATTTGATCCTGCTCTCCTGTTGGCCTGTTAATATCCAGCTCTCCGCTCCATACAAAAGTATAGGTAGATATACCGTCTTGAAGATGAGTTGCTTGACATCTTTGCTTACTTCTCTCTTCCCTACTACAGTGTTACATATTTGGTAGTAAACTGTATTTGCCTTATTAATCCTGTTTGATATTTCTGCGTTTAACTTCCCAGATCCGTCTATCACTGTACCCAGGTATGTGAAGTCTGTCAACACTTCTAATTCTTCTCCATTACAGTATATGTGGATATCTTCCTTCTTTCTTTCAACTTGTAGGATCTTACTTTTGTTGGTATTTATAAGCATCTCTTTTCGTTGGAGTTCTTCATACCATTCCATAACTGCCAATTGCAGCTTTTCCACTGAGTCCGTAATCAATACCACGTCATCGGCGTAGAGGAGAAGCTGTATCACTACTTAACTGATCACTACTTACTGGATTAAGATTCCTACGTCCCAGGAATGTCCTGTCGGTTCTTCTCTTACAAATGGATGCCACTTCATCCATGAACAAAAAGGGACTTAGCCTGTCTCCTTGTTTCACTCCCTTTGCAATATGGAAACAACCTGATTCTAGCCCGTTCAGCTTGACTATTCCTTTGGGCTCTCGGTATATTGATTTTATCGCCTCTCAGATTTCTCGGAACCTTCTTCGATCTGACAGCTTCTCATATTTCATCTCATGGAACCGAGTCAAAGGCAGATTGCTCTGTCTTCCGTGACCACTTTTCCTTCTTCACTCTTCATGTTTCTCACTGCTTTGATCTTACGTCCTCTTCGAGCTTTAATTTTCTTCCAGAAAATCCTGATGATCCTGATCCAACTCTCTCCCAAATCCTTCCTACGATTTTTGTTTTGCCACTCTTACTGCTTCTTGTGTCTTGCTTCGGGCTAACACGTATGCTTGCCATTTCTCTGTAGTTTTGTCCTGACAGTATCCCTTCCACGCTGTTTTCTTTTGCAAGGCATGCACTTTCAGTTCTTCGCTCCACCATGATGTACTTTTATCTTTCTTGCAAATCTTTTTCACTCCACACACTACAGTAGCTGCTTTCAGAATGCTATCCTTTATTTGACTCCATAGATTATCAAGGCTTGCATTTGCATCTAATTCATGGACCCAATTTCTTAACTCTGCTTCATACTCATCTCTCTTTTGAGGGTCCTGCAACTTCTCTATGGACCAACAGGTACCCAGTACGGGGGGTATTTCCCGGCCACCCTTACTCCTGAGGAGACATAAATATTCAGGAGGCCACTTGTCCCAAGGTTACGTGGCCTCTCCTACTGGGCTAATCACCCGTAGGAGAGAATCATCGATTCAGAGAAAATTAGCAACAAGCCTCGGGATTGGACAGTCTAAAAGGAAACGACAAGGCATGGATAAGGACATACGTTTGGGAACATGGAACGTGAGATCACTCGCCGGCAAGGAGGTGGAGATCATTGAGGAAATGACTTATATCAGCCAATCAGAAAAATTTAATTTAATCAATTTAAGATTAGATATTTTTATTAATGTTTATCAAAACATCTTAGTAACGGAGCAACATTCATATCATTAAAGTCAGAGAGAGGGGGGCGGAGGAGGAATATAAATTATTAAATGAGAATGTTTCCTTTTCTTGGTTTTCAAGGTAGGGTTTTCCGAAGCAAAGAGGAAGAAATTTTAACATGATTAAATTTTAATATTTTTGTACGCTAAAAGAAATAAATATTTAACCTTCAAATTAACTGGCAACCCTGAGCCATTCTCCTTCAGGACCCCCTCCCACATCGGCACATATGTACTTATAAACAAAGATGGGTTCTGTGGGAATTGCTATTATGTTTTGATTTTAATTTTTCTTTGAATAATGAATTTATTTCTCAACGTAATATGATGAACGGTTCATGGACTGATGTAAACATTTCAAATAGATTTGGAATTGGTAAGTTGAAAGGAGAATAATTAACTTCTATTTTGTTTTAACTTAAATAAATGAATATTTTACGATTTTTTATTTCAATAATTTTTTTAAAAGGCAATGGCTAAGTCTGAGTTAGTCTTACTCTATAGGGTGGTGCATGAGATCATTTCCTGAATTCATAATTTTGCTCTGTGCTAAAGGAAATCATATACTACCTCCTGCATATCTATGATATGAAATGACAATATAATCAATTTATTCTTTTTTAAAATTTTGTTCTATTAGTAATAGAATATTTTTATGTTTTATTTGTATTCGTTTTTTAATAGTTTATTTTTGTGACTACCTCTATTAATTACTGTCATTAGCAACAACAGGTTGTTGCAAACCTACAAATTGACCCTTAGGTAAATAGGATATCCTTATTAATTCATGGGTAACTGTCTCTCAGGTGTTAGAAATTAATTATTGTGACACTAAATTTATTTTAATTTTTAACAACATAATTTATATTTGTATGTGTGGTTTGTTTTAGTATTAATGAATCTTCTGTCAATACTCACACATATTCCTAGTGTTAATTTTAATATCATGATTAACTAATATAATTTTTTTTAATTAATGAGTCACTAATGAACATTAGCTGTCAATTTTTTTTCCCCTACTCAATGGCTATTATTTTACTCATGCTTTAAATTTTATTTATTAATACACTTGTAAGTAACATATATATATATTTTAATATTCATTAAAATTTTAGTTGTTCACAATTTTCAACAAGAAGAAGCTCATCGCTTAAGATTAAGTGTTGGAGAAAGTGTATTAATATCTCAAGAAAATGGAGAGTGGTATTTCGGTAATTCAACAAAAAACAGATACCGACAGGGAATTTTCCCGAAGAGTTATGTTAAAATCATGGAGAGTATTGTTGACAAATCCGGGTAAGGAACAATAGATACTTTGATTTTATATATCAAGTCTGATTTTGTTTGTATTTTAAACATGTAAGAATCAGGGTTAAAGGACTTTGATGAAGCTAATCAGTAAATCATGTTAAAATTTTTAGTTAATTTGGAGTTATGTTAAATAACATTTTCATGTATACATTTTATGTCTCTAAGTCATATTTATTTCCGTAAATTGTTGATTCATTACTTTCCGTATCAAATTTTAATTTTAAAGATTTATCTTTTCATCTATTTCATGAGTCATTGTGTTTGTATTTAATGTCAAAGGGTCATGACAAATTTTTTTATGAAGTTTTATTTAAAAAAAAAAATATTTTAAACTTTAGTTAATATAATTTAATTTTAATTAATGACAATTTATTTTGCCAAAATTAAACTCTATTAGGATATCATTAAGTACTGTGTAAAATTTCTCTATTTTCTTAATACTTTATAAATTGATCTTTTAAGAAAAATTCTATGTAATAAATTCTGAAGAAAATTAAAAAAAAAAAAAAAAAAATTCTATGATCCGTAATATTATTCATTTTTTTATTACATTAAAACTCCACTTATCTGTGCTAGACAGTACTGAAACATTGCCAGAGAAGTGGGAGAGCTGTATAATCCAGAGTTTATAAAAGAAAAATTCCAATAACAATTTATTATTGAGTGCTAATAAAACTATGGAGGTGGTCATAATAAAACTTAAAGCAGTGAAAAACTTTCTTCTTTTTTTTAAACCTAATGGTTTTTCATTATTTTATTTATTTTTTTTTATGACAGCCTGGACCATCTCTTTTCTCATTAATTTATTATGTATATTAGATAAAATTCAAAATGAAAGATGGAAATCAATCTGTATATATTAAAATATGATAAAAGTTAAATTGATTAGACTGATTTGTTTTAACTTCAAATAAAAATTTCTGTAGTGTTTTGTTATATTTATTAGGAAGTCCTCAGGATTTCACAAGGATTTTTTTTGTCCATGTATTATCTTTGTATAATTAATGATTAAATATAATATTATTCCTAATAAATAGCTAAATTAAAGTAATTTATTGTATTAAATAATTTTATGTTAGATTTGAGTTAAATTAATTTACTATGGGATATTTAAATCTGATAATGTAAACAAAAAATGTTATAGCTTTTATAGAATTTTACATTCATTAAAAAATATCAAAATTTTGTTTAGATACATGATTATTACACGTATGAACGATCATTCATTTTTAGTAATATTCTCAAACTCACATTTTTTTTTTTTTTTTAAACATACCTTATACTTTCAAAAACCAAATAAAAATTCCAAATACTATTATATTGAAAATAGATGTAATTTTTTGTTTTTTTGGTTTAATAATAGTATGAATAAGGAGGCATTACTTTTTGAGTAGCAAAATATAATATTAATTTCCATTTTCCTTATAATAAATATTATAGATTTGTTCTACATCCAAATGAGGTCATGGTGGCCGAGTATGTGAGACCATTGCCCATTTGACATTCTTGAGTCTAGTGATGCCAGTTTGAATCTGGTCTGGGCGGGTTGAAATTTATTTTGTGGCAGACCCACACCATGAATCTCCTCTATCTTTCCACTCTGGTTAGCGTAGGTTTGGTTGTACCACTAGGTATATGGTTAATTTTTATGTTAATAATTCAACTAAATTTATATATAGTAATAAAAGTTTTTTTATTTTTATAAATATCCATCTCTCTTTATATTTTATAAATATTTTACTTATAATTTTTTAATAACTTTTAGTCCTACCGAAGAGGTAGTTTTAAAACAACCAAAAATCGTACAGGAAATTTCTTCAGTGCTTCGAGAATGGGGTGAACTTCTAAAAGAATTATTTGTTGTAAGTATTAATAGCCAGAAATTGAAACTTTTGGTAATTTAAATTTTAAAAAAAATTATGTTATAAATGATAAATAATCAATTTCAGTATCACAGCGAAAACTTTCGTGTCATCAAGGCTTTAATGTACGATTTAATGACATATAGAAGTCAAATTATTTCTGGAAAGTTTCCAGCTGATGAATTAAAACAGATTAAAAGAATTGTTACTTCTAAAATTGATGTTGGCAACAAGTAAGTTTTAAATACTATTCCACTTATGAAGTGGTATTTTATTTGATGGAAATCAATTTTTCATTGATAAGTTATTTAATCTTTAAATGCTATTATATAATTTAGTATTTATTATATATGACTTTCTGATTATAATTATATATCTCATTTACAGTCTTCTTGGTCTTGATATGGTAGTAAGGGATGATCAAGGCAACATACTTAATCCAGAAGTAACGTCAACAGTAGAGTTGTATAGGCATCATCACTTATCGAAAGAAAGAATTTTAAAAGCAACGGTGAGTGATTGATTTTGTAGTTTATTCCTGTGTCAAGAATAGGATAATTTTTTTTTTTGTGTGTAATGGAGGAAACATAAGCAAAATACTTTAAACATTTCACCCAATTAGATATATAACTAAAATTGTAATTAATAAAATTTTAATCTTGTTTATATTTGTATGATTGGGGTTTAATGTTATTCACCATTTCTACAACTGCCTGGTAAAGGAAGTCAAGAAGTATTTATTTATTTTGTATGTAAATATGTATTTGGCTATTTTTTTATTGTACAGTTAATTTCAATTCTTTTCTACCAGTTACACAATTTTATGTATATGTTCTACTTTCGACTTTGGTTTCAAGCTATGAAATTAAGAAATTTTGAAAGTTAATTTAAATTATATGTTTTAATCTAATTTTCTATCACTATTAATTTACAATTATTTTCAATTTTAGAGTGAACCGATTTCAAAAGAAGATAGAAGACTTCTTTCTCAACAATACTGCCATGCGTTATTCGTTTGTGTTAGAGAGTTTGTTTGCAAGTTGATAGAAGATTTCGAATTGTTAATGTGCCTTTATGATGTTAAAGAAGGCAGACCATTTACTGAAAACCATGTTATTAGATGGTCTAAAGGAGCACCGTTGGAGACAGATATTCCTAGAGTACTTTTTACCGTAAGTTAACTGAATTAATAAGTTTTTTTTTACCAAGGAAATGTAGTTGATACTATTATTTAATTTTTATTCTGTTTAGGATTTAGGTACAAGAGATATTCTGCGAGAAAAGGTCTATCTGGTTTCTTACGTTGTTCGTCTCGGAGGTATGGAAAAAACGTTAACACCGAGTAAATCTCAACCATCACATGGTGATCCTATGAGGAGACCTTTTGGTGTCGCTGCTAAAGATATAACTTTGTATGTAAATGGAAAACTTGAGCCTGGGGAAGAGGATACAGTTATTTTACCATTACTTATGTAAGGTTTTAATTTTTAATGATTCTGAAATAATATCTGCAATTTTTTATTATTATTATTATTATTTTCAATAATAGTAATTAAAAAAAAAAGTTAACCAATTTACTAACTGAGGCAAAATAAAGTTAGGAGTAAGGAATACGAGTAAATAAAGGAATATGAGCGTCTGAGCTCACCCGAAAGAATACATTCGTAACATGAGCTTATGTACACAATATGTAGAAAATATTATGTACATATACATGTGTGGTTTTCATAAATGTTATCATTGGTATTATTTAATATTTAATTGTATGGAATACAGTGATATAAAAATTAAAATTTTCTACATAAGGGTATTTAAACAAATAGAAATACCCACAACGAAATGTAAATAAATATAGTTCCTATAATTTTTACTTTCACTTCCCCTTTGTCTGAAAATACTTATTTCTGCTAAGAAGGGGGTGATAAGTGAAAGTAGTGTGAAGCATACATCAGATTTTTAATTATTGGGTTTTAATTATCTGCTCTGGTTAGTTTCTCATAATATTTCTCCTTTTCTAGGTGTGAAAAAGATAATCTTGAAGGAACATTACGAAGAATTCTAACGATAAAAGATCTCACGCATAAAGACCATAAAGGTTATGGTTTGAGTGTAAGACTGAAAATGCTTCATGGAGATTTGAAGCAGGTACATTTATATATTTTATCTGTATTATTATTATATTTTATAAATGCTTAAGAGTTTTTTTTTTTTTTCATGACAAAAGATGCTTCAATGTTCTCAGATATTGGACTGAACCTCATGAATTAGTTTCCATTCTTTTTTAAAGTGAAATTTTAATAAGACTTTAATTAATACTTCTTTTATAATCAAGTGTTGAGCTACTTTTTTTTTTGTTCCTGTAATTTTTTATTTTGATTAATTATGAAAATCAAACTTTTTAATTTTAACAAATTATATGCACATAAATAATTTTTAATATCTCTTACCAATACTACATGCATTATATTATAATATCTCAATTTTATTTTACATATAAAAATCATTCTCAGAAAATTGAATTTCATCACTTCTATGTTAATGAACTTTTTCACTGCTATTTCGATTATAGGCAAAATATAGTTTGTTAGCTAACGATGTTTCAACCAATGCGAATTCAGCTTCTTATTTAAAAACCAAAAAAAGTTTCAGACATTTCATATTATTTAAAAATATTCGTTACTGATACAGTTTTGACTTAATTATAGCTTTGAACTTACAACAACGATGGACCCTTTATAGCCCTAAGATCTATAAGATGGTAGCTATAGATAATCAGAATTGAGCATGGCAAGAACTTGGAAAGCCATAAAGCATGATAAATACAAAAGTTTATTACTATAAATGTAAAAACGATGTAGATAAAACAATCCAACATAACAATTTTATTTTTTTTAAAATAAGTTTTTTTTTATGTAGTCCTTGGAAATGGTTCCTGTCTATAAATTTTTAAAGCATTATTAGAGCAGAGAATACATCTGATTTTGCTAAAAAAATTATGCAAGTTTTTGATGTATTGTGTTACGATTTTTAGAGTAATTGATGGAAAATCATCTTCATCTTCCCCATCAGTGTTCCCAGACAGAGTTAATATTTCGTCTTCAGTTAAGATTCCTGCTACTGCTAAACTTTCATCACAATAAACAAAATCATCAAGTGTTCTAAGAGTTTCTTCATTTTGAGAAACGTAATTCCATACAAGAGGGCACTCTGAATCATTTAAATTTTTGCCTTCGTAAATCCCCATGTCCAAAAACAATTTCTAATTTTGCTATCACTAACGTTTTTCCATACTTTTCAGCAATTTTCATGGCTGAAAATAAGACAATTTTAAGCTCTTTCCCATCCTCTATGCTGTCAAAGAGTTGTATTACCACTTCTTCCAGTAGATGGTCTTAAATATTTTAACTATGTCCTGGTCTAACTAGGCGAAACATTTTTCTCAGAGGCATTTTCAAGATAAAACTGAACATAATGTTTGACAAACAGAGAGCACTGAAATTGAAAAAAAAGAAGTAAATAAACAGAAATTCATAGAAATGATAATCTCTCACTCTCCTCTCCTTCTCCTAAAAGGATTAAGATCCAATTAGATTTTTTTTTTCTAATTCAAAATAAAAGATGTTTAAAATTCAATGAAGACAAAAATAAATCCGAAATATCAAGGGGACCAAAGAAGATTTTTTAGTTTTTTATTATGAATTATCGAGATTCAACTGTAATATATGTCTGTAAGAATACCATATTGGCCGGCCAAACATAATTGGAGGATAAAGTTAGGCATTATAGCTACAAATGTATGTACAGCATCCAAAATTCAATATGTTGCTTGATAGCCAAAGGGACAAAGGATCTGTGAGAAATTGAAGACATAGTGGCTTAAGCCTAGCATTCTCTGTTGAGTAGCGGTGATGATTTGAATCCAATCCATCCTGGATAATAGAATTAATCTTCACCTTCTCACTCTGGTGAGAATAAGTTAGTTACTTGTGAACTAGCCTATCATTCTTGGTCTAGTTAGCATACGTAAGGACATTAAACCCAAAGAAACAAAACAATTTCAGTGTAAACTTCTGACTTAACAGTGAGTTGTATGAAGAATCTCGTAGAACATTAAAGATCGTTTAGTAAATAATCATTCTAATCATTACGTTTACATCCTTAAAATTTAATAATAACCTAACTATTTGATAATAATAATTTTATTTTCAATTTCAGGTACGAGAGGAAAATCCTCATTTGATTTTAGGTCAGGTGTCCGTCGCTCGAAAGATGGGCTTTCCCGAGGTAATACTTCCTGGTGATGTTCGAAATGATCTTTATTTGACTTTGGTTTCTGGTGAATTTTCTAAAGGTAGTAAATCAACCGACAAGAATGTTCAAGTCACAGTACAAGTATGCAATGAAAACGGGCAAGTCCTTCAGGTGAGTTATAAACCTTATCGAGTACTAGTTGAAAATCGCCACTCTAAGATGTCAATTGGTTTCTAGATCATTTTCAGCAGACTTTGTATGGAATCCTGAGGAATTTCTAGCATTTCAATTATAGATTGTGCCTAATATTCTGAAACAATATAGGGAATGTTCATTATTGTTGATCGAAAACATGAATTGTGTTTATTTCCTTGGCAGAAATGTTTAGACAAACATTTTGATTAATTATTATTATTTAATTTTTAATTTTTAGATAAAATCAACAAAGATGCAATAGAACTGCATGCAGATAACGAAAGAAATAGGCAGAGATTGAGCGGGCTTGTTAAGGTGGCAAAAGATCTAAAAGGTCTATAATACCAAAACAAAAAAAAAATAAAAAAATAAAAAATCTGATTAGCTAGTGGGTGGTTATTTTTCATCATTATGAATTCTTTAGTCAGTTGTAAACAAGAAAAAGTGCAACATATCATTATCAAAGTAATTTAAAAGATTTTTAAGTTTGGCAAAAATCCATTTCAACCATCAGAATGGTTTTAGAAATACTGAATGCCTTGTATATCAGAAACTACTTCAGTATAGAAACATCATACCAATTACCAGAGAGGTTTAACTTTAAACATTGTTCAATCAAAACTTAGATTTCGTCACTCAGCCTCATATATTAAAAGAAGTGGAGACGCGATGGAGACTTAAGCTGACTAAACATAAACAATTTGTTACAAAGGGTTGGAGGGTTGTCTACATCTACTTTTGAATAGTCACAGGTTTTTTTCGGAATTCCACCTAAAGTGCGCTCTAAGTGATCTTTAAATTAGCTGCCATATTGGAGTAGCGATTCAAAGCTAGTACACGTAATTATGGAATATTTTTTTTTTTTATTAAATAAATATTTTTTTTTTTTGTAGGGTGTGATACACTCTGGAGGTGAAAATAACGAATATCGTTCTGTAATTTACTACCATGAAGATAAACCTAGATGGGCTGAGACTTGTAAAATAGCTGTACCAATTGAAGAATTTAAAGTCAGTCATTTGCGATTTATGTTCAAACATCGGTATTTGCTTTTTCATTATATATGGTTCCTGCAGTTGTGCTCTCAATTATTGTAGAATTAATTGAAATTATGTTTCATGTTTCTAGATCTTCCAATGAAACTAAAGATAGAAACGAAAAGCCATTTGCTATGTCTTTTGTTAGCCTAATGCAACAGAATGGTACTACTTTGCCTGATACTCAACACGAATTATTAGTCTACAAGGTTAATATTTAAAATTGAAATATATTATGTAAAAAGTAAAAATATTTGTATTATTCTCATTTATATTAATACTAACTGATGTACCCGTTGTTGACTTCTTTTTTTGAGATTGATTTTGTATTATGGGAGGGATCCACATTCAATTTCATAAAATTGGGTGGAGAGTGGGTTGTTTTGAAATTTTTTATTAGGGGCTTATGGAATTCAAGATTTCGCAATAGTCATAAGAAAAACATTGTTGAAACAGCATAACTTGGTTGCTCAAGTGTGGGAGGATGTCGGAATTTTCCTGGTAGAATAGGATTAAGTATTTACGTTTTATATAAATGTAACACCTAGGGTAAAACTTTTTTCTTTTTTTTTAAGCGGCCGTTCCATATGTTTAATCCAAAAATTAAATATGATCATATTTATTTGACTTGACGAGCTTGATAGAATGACATCTCGAGAAGATCAATTAGATAAACCTAACTACTGACAATTAAAACAGTTGACGCTTAAATGGAAGTCCAGGATTTCGGTTTTTTCCCACTGGGTTCTGAACCGGGATCTCTAGACAAATTACTCAAGAATTCATAACTTTGGTTCTGCTGAATATTTTCTTTTTGCAAAAGCCTGTTTTAAGTCAAACAAACCTAAATATAATCTTATCTTTTAGTTTATATACAATTTACTTTAGTATTATTATATTGCCGTTTATTATTTTTATTTATTGTATGGTATGAATGAGCTACTCTATATCACTATTACTATTATCCTTGAATGTGACAGATTGTAATCTCAATAAAGAAGTTTTAAAAAAAAATGTAAAAATTTCAAAAGTCTACTACTAAAAGCCATTAGCCTTTGTTGAGTTTATCGCTAGCAAAATAACATTGGACATTGAGTCACCTACACCCGCGTAAAGTTAGAACTTTATCTGAATATTGTGGCGGGCAGGGTGAAATTTTTGGGAGTTTTTTTCCGATTTCCGGCTAATCCGTTTGTTTAATCCTAAAAATGTATACAACATTTTTTCAGGCTTGAGAAGTTGCATCGAATGACACCTTGAAGAAGAAGATCGGACAAAGTTAAAAAATTGATGTGTTTTACCTGTGTTTTAAGCGACGTGTTACAGATGTTCAGGATTTTTGGATTTTTCCCGTTGAGTTGTGATAATTTTTTCCATCAGTTGAATAGTACAACTTTTAAATGTGGCTCGCGGTAGAGTAAGTTGGGATGAGAATCGAAGTAAGTAACTGTCTAACCAGAATCTCTAGACAAATTACTGAAGAATTCATAACTTTGGTTCTACGTAAGATTTTGTTTTCATTTAAAGCCTATGTTTTAAGTCAAGCAAACCTAAATGTAATGTTAAAATTTCAAAAGTCTACCATTAGCCATTGCTGAGCTTACCCCTGACAAAATTTCGTTGGACAATGCGGACATACAGACAAAAATTTTTTAAAAGTTGATTTGGTGTCTGTTATGTATAAAAAGGAAAAATATCATGAAATATTCTATTCAATGTACAGACAAAACCTTTATTTTATTTATATATATACCATCTTCCTATATAGAATTTATATATTTCATTGCATGTATTTTTAATAATGTTTTACAGGTAGATCATAAGAAATATGATTTTCAAGATATGTGTTACCTTACTATGCCTTCAAGGAAAATAGAGTTAGAAGAAGGTGGTAAAAGATCATGTAATGGTCTTACTTTATCAAATAAAGATTTGTTTATAATTCAAACTAACGTTTGCTCTACTAAACTCACACAGAATAGTAAGTAGATTTAAGATCATCCATACAAATAAGTTTTTCTTAATACTAAAAATATAATTCTTCATGACAAAATAAATAATATATATCTAAAGATTAAATAAAAATTTTCAGTTGATCTTTTGGGCCTATTAAATTGGACAAGTGAACCCGAACAAGTTCTTAATAGTCTCGATGCTCTCATTAAAAAAGTAAGCGGTGAAGAAATTGTGAAATTTCTTCAAGATGTTCTTGACGCATTGTTCAACATTCTAATGGAAAATACTGATTCGGATCTCTATGATAAAATGGTTTTCAATTGTCTCGTAAGTTTTAATTAATTTATGACATCTCTTCTTTATTTAATTTGAAGGTAAATTACTAGGTGATCTATTAATATTTCAGCTTCATATCATTGGACTTGTATCGGACAGAAAATATGAGCACTTTGAACCAGTATTAGATTTGTATATAAAAGAGGGTTTTTGTGCAACATTGGCCCATCAGTAAGTACTTTATTTATTTAAATATATATGTCAAATTTTAAAAATCTCCATTTTATGGATTTTTCTTATTGGAAATAAAGCTGATATACATGTTGTAATCTTTTTTTCTTTTTTAATCAATGGTGTGATATTGCACGCCTGTGTCACTACAAACCTTGATAATGTTATACAAGTATTGAAAAGGCTTCAAATCTGGGACAGTGGTAAGTTGGTGGATCAGATCGAGAATGGAAAATTGAGTTTTGGAGATGTGATGGTAATGATAATGATAACGATAATGAGGATATTAAGACCAAGTTAGTAAAACGTAAGATTTTCTCTTGGAACCTACCTGGCACTGTGTTTGTAAGCCGTAAAACGTACAATGTGCTCAATGGGATTGAGATGTGGAGTCAATACGGGAAGGAGCAGATGTGAAATGTCCAGATTTAAAAGACATTGATGAACAACTTTTCTCCTATGAGGTCACGCAATGACATTACCTTCCACAATATCGAATGGAGTATGTTCTGAGTTGATTGCACCTCTAGCCTGCATTGAAGAAAGCATGAATTGTGGCAGTGTATCCATATTCTGTTCTCGGTAGACTCTTTGGCATCTACGATCGCTATAAATACAGAAACGCGACTGGTCTGTACACATAACAGCATTCCAATTTTTATCCTTATCTAGGCGCCTGCTCCAACATAATCTGTGATGCACTGTTGCTGCAGATCACCTAAAAGAGACATGAAATATTAGACCAACTTTCCACAAACGATTACGAATGTTTTGTTTTGGTATATGACTTTGCAAAACAATCAACACTTCATTTAGTATCTGTCAGGCACTTTTTTTTTCCGTCCTCCCCTTTTTTACCTTTTAGGCTATACGCGGTTTTCCAAAGTTAAAAGCCCCACACCATGGTACCGGGATGCGAACTCGTGATTATTTTTTATCAATTATCTCATATATCAGGTTGCTGGGCAACGGCAGTACTGTGCACAGGCGTTATCACGCTAGGCTACCCCTGTTTCTGTCATCCCCTGCCTTAATGTGCTGAGGTCGACTAACAGGTCTCCTAATGGTACTTCTATTTTTTCTAAATCTGGTTAAAGCTCAGGAGACCACGACTGGAAGACACCAGCTGCATCGGCAATATCCACTTACTGGTTCTCTTCACCACTCTCACAATAATATTGAACTTCTGGTACAATATGATGTCTTTCCATTGTTAAATAGAATATAACTGGATTAAAATTGAGAAAAGTCAAAAATAATTTGGCTTACTAAATGAGTATTCTTCATGTTAACTCTTTCAGTTAATAATTTATTAAAAATAAAGAATACTTGTTTAATGTTTATGTTTACCAAAAAATAAGAGAATCCCTATCGAACAAAAAAAAAAGGGTTATTTTAATTAAAATAAGTATCAAATAGAAATATCCTTATTCATTTTTGAGCAGTATAAATTGCATTTACTTGTTTCTGTGTTATATTTTCATTTTTTCACTAACTGATATACTGTGTGGATTATTTGCTTGAGCCAACTAGTTTTTATTATTATTTTGAATTCAATTTTACAAATAACTAACTTATAACTAATATAGGTAAAACTACTACAATATTTTTCTTTCATGCAAATACTTATTCCTTCTTTTTTATTTTTTAGTAAACTTTTAGCTGTTTTGAAGGATCTCTTCGAGAACTTAAGCTTATCTGACAGTGAGAGAGAGATCCTTTTGAAGACTATGAAATCGTTACAGTATATAATGAGATTTATTGTCAGATCAAGAGTCCTGTTTGCTGAGTAAGTTGACATTATTGTGAAATTAAAACTTTAAAACTAATTTTAACGTAGTATGAGAATGATTTTAGGCCTTGATGCTATCGATACATAACAGATTTTCTATTGGTTGATGATCTAATGTTTTCAATAATATTTACCACATGGGAGAGGATTGATATATAGTTCTGTCGCCAGTTGGAACAGATGTTTTGACTTCTAAAACAATGTATTTAAACATTTTTTGAAAAATTTGGACTCAACTGGTTCTTGCATCAAGACCACTTAATTAATTAATTACACTTGTCCAACTCTAATTGGAACTAGTTCATTGGTTTAGTATTTTTTGTACCTAATTAGCCACAGTTTATAGGAGCCCTGACGCTAGGGTCCAAAAATCGACCTGATTGCAGGTGAAGGTTTGAATATAAATTACGAAAGTTTATGTTATTCTAAGTAAAATGTACCTTGTCTATCATTCCAGAGTCGCTGCTATACAAAACTGGCGGCTGATTTAAAGAATAATAGGCTGGTAATTTGAGGATCAAAACAGAAAATTCATTGCGAAAAATGTGAGAAGTTTTTATTTATTTAACTTTTATATAATAGATTTAGACATGTAAAAAACTAAATTGCTAATGCGGGCCACCAAGGGAAAGCTTTTTAACACAAAAAAAGCCTGATTTTTTTGATCTTTTTTTGTTTTTTCACCTATAACTCCTAAAATTGGATCATAGCGAAAAATGTATTATTTTAGAAATTAAAGAATGTTAAATTTTGCGTTGAACGAGTACCTAAACATAATAATTTGGTTAAGTGGTATGGTAGAAAACCATGGTCAACCAACTCTGATTTTTACCAAATTTACACATAATAATTTGGTTAAGCGATATGGTAGAAAACCATGGTCAACCAACTCTGATTTTTACCAAATTTAAACATAATAATTTGGTTAAGCGGTATGGTAGAAAACCAGGGTCAACCAACTCTGATTTTTACCAAATTTGTCTAAAACTGAGACAAATTATTCTAAATGGTAGTGTAGCTTGGAAATGAGTTCTCTAAGAGGAAAAACTCATAAGAATCAAAGTTGTAGAGCATCAAATTTTACGTCCAATGAGTGCCTACTGTTTAATGTGTGTGACTTATTATGAACTAAATCGGTAATCTTCTAATAGCTGAAAATTGGTAATGAAGGTACGTGTGATTTTCAATATTTCAACAGTATGGTTGTCTATTCTACTAGATTATTCTTGTAAGGAGTCTATTATATGCAGTATAAGCCTATTTTCAACCTCTCAGCAGGGAAGAATTATGAAAATGATGTATTGAAAGAAACCGAATTTCATAAAGAAATAACGAATGCTGATTCAAGTTATATAATTGACCTACATTAAATATATTAGTACTCAGCGGTGGCAAAATTTGATGCTCTACAACTTTGATTCTATGGGTTTTTCCTCTAAGGGGTCTCATTTCCAAGCTACAGGGTCTCAGTTTTTGACAAATTTGATAAGAATTGGTGTTGGTTGACCGTGGTTTTCTGCCATATCATTTAACCAAATTATTAAGTTTAGATACTCGTTCAATGCAAAATTTAAAGTTCTTTATTTTTTTAAAGAGTACATTTTTCGCTTTGATGCATCGTTTAGGAGTTATAGATTAAAAAACAGAAAAAAATCTGTCTTTGTGGCTGTTAAAACTTTTCCCTTGGTGGTCCGCATTAGCAATTTTTTTTTACATATCTAAATCTATTATATAAAAGTTAAATAAATAAAAACTTCTCACATTTTTCGCAATGAATTTTCTGTTTTGATCCTCAAATTACCAGCCTATTATTCTTTAAATCAGCCGCCAGTTTTGAAAGCAGTGGGTCTGGAACGGCAGACAATTTTACTTTCATAATTTACATTCAAACCTTTATCTGCAATCGGATCGATTTTTGGGCTCTGGCTCCAGAGCCATAATGTATGAGAGTTATAATTTACTTTACTTAGTGAGTGAATGAGTTGAGCTAGTCGTCTTGATGTATTAAAATGGATATTTGTGTTGTCATTTTTCTTATCAAGTATCTTTCCTTTTCTTAAGACTATATTTTTTATAATTTCTTGATCCAAATCTTAAAATAACTCGTTTTAATCAATTAATTTAACCATATAAAAGGTTTTTCACACTTCAAAATATGATCTGTGGCCAGCCCTCTTCCCAATTTGTAATTGTTAGCATTTGTGTGCATTTTACAATTTCGGGTCCGCCCCAAGAATAAGTTTTTGAAATTAATTGTAGTCCATTCAAATTAGCCAAAATAGTGATATGAATTTTAGAAAACATAAAATGCCACATAATATAAATAACTTCGATTTTTTTTTTTAGATGAATTTAAGTGCCATATTTTTCTTTGTTTCCTAATGTGCATAAGTATGCATCTACCTCCTAACAATATTACTTTTGTAGTGCCTAAAGTTTGTAATTCTTTATATAAACAAAATTTCTTAGTTAATTTCATTTAGAGAAGCAGGAGTAATTCTAATTGAATTGATTAATAATTTGCTCTAGGTTTAGAGAAAGTGGAAGTTACCATGGTTTGTTTAATAAAAACAAAAAAACAATGAAAGGTACGCATATTATGAAGATATGCATTAATTTAATTCATTGTCTGTTTAATTTTTGTTTAAGTAATACTTATTTTCAATGTATTTGCTAAATAATCCTGTATTCAAAAATTGAGATTTGAATGATTCTGTTTTTTTTTTTTGGTGTAACCGCTAAATGTGTTTATTTTTTCTATCCTGTTATAAATGCTCTACTTACTTCTATCGCCTTCCTTAAAGTAAACTAAATGAAAATATAATTCATATTAACAACTATTACCACAATTTTTGTATAATTATATATATAAGCAACTATACCTCAATATAGATTGCTTTTGAAGCTAAATTAATCCTGTTTGTGTAACCATGAAGCTTTTGATTATAGTAGTCTAGTTGATGCTGATAAAAGAAAATTATCCCTCTAATTTTATCCAATTTTTTAGTTACTGTAATAATTTTTTTACTATGAAATTTACTGTAGCTTTGTTTAATGGTCCATTTATATGACATCAGACCTGAGAAAACGGGTAGTGAGATGTGTTAGTTAAGAAGCCCTGATCCCTTCACCGGTTCACTCTTCACTATTGCACATTGTCAACTCGAGTTCATCTGTCTTTTTGTTATGGTACCTTGACCAACGAAACCTCAGTTACTGATGATCGCTTTAAGTGCACAATTGGTGTGCAAAAAATCTTGAAAAAAATAGAAAATTTTTGGTTCAGTCTTTCTTTCAGCCTATAAATGTATCTATAGATTTTTTTTTTTTTAATAAAAGCTTACCTTTTTATACTCTTTTCTGTAGACATTTCTCATGTTTTCTATTTATTTATATTTTTAATCATTTGCGGTTGCAGGTTTTTTTTTACTTCGATGATCACATCTCCCTCATGCTTAGTATTATTTATTATTATTATTATTATAATTATTTATCCCAGATTGGAAGAAAATTCCATTCTTCCACTACATTAGGTTGAGTCATTGACTGGTTTTCTACCATCCTCGCTACCTGTTTTCTCAAACGATGTTATATAAATGACCCTTAATATAATACTGCTTTATTATTATTTTTCCAAGTGTTATTATGAACTTTAATGTTAACAGTGTGTAACAAGTTTAGTAGTGCATAGTTTTTTAATGATTTGAAAACCATATTGTTTGAATATTAGTGGTGAATTATTATTTTTAAATTATTTTATGAAAAAGGAGTTATCACGTTTCTTTATGCATCTACGTCAATAGCTGGTCCCACATGGTCAATCAAGAATGATAGTCATTTCAATCAAGTCATTTCTGACTTCCCACACGTGGTACAAATCCCTTTTTATAAAATTATTAACATCCATCTAAAACTTCATGAATGGCTTTATCTTATCCTATATATAACATATTTATTTACAAATATTCTCGGAAATGGGGCATTTTCAATTTATAGATGGGTAAATTGTTCATTTAATAGGGTTTATTTTTTTTTTTTTGGTCCTCCCTCCCCTTCCTCGCTGTTAAGGCTATACAGGATTTTCCTGGGCCAGGGGGTGTGGGCGGGGACTTAAAAGACGCCTTGGGTCCGGGACGCGTATTCACGACTATTTTTGTTCATTTATCATATATCAGGTTGTCAGGCAACGGTGGTGTTGTGCACAACGTGTTAGGCCATTCGGCTATCCCGCCCACATTTAATAAGGTACTAATAACTTGCGAATCATAAGATAATTTGATCATGAAATCGAAAAAAAAAGGTTGCCTACAAAAATATTTGACCGTGACCCTCACCTCCAACATGTCAAAATAACCATGTTATGTAGGTCAACTCTCCCAATATTTGTAGGCCACATTTTCTCAATTTTGTGATCAAGTTATCTTTGGATTTAGGTGGAAAGCATATGGTTGTTATTCTTGAATATTTAGTACCTTATTAATTTAATGATAAAATGTCCCACTTCTGAGAATTTTTATTTTAGTTTACGATAAGGTGAAACCATTAACGAAGTTATAGAGGAATGTTATTAATTTGATAAAAAGGAGTTCGTCTCTTACATCTATCAGTAAGAATAAGTTGATTTTAATGTAGTTGACACTGAGATAACTAACAGTGGCACATCATTTGTATTTGTCTAATTAAAAAAAATAATTTTTTTTCTTTGGCATTGGACAGAAGGATGAAAGTGGAACGCAATGTATAGGTGAAGAAGTTTAAAACAGGGATCAGTATTGTCATTTAACCTTGCTATGTAAAATCTCCGAAGCAAATGCTTTAGGTCATATTTCTTCAATCTTTTTATATTACATCCAATGTCAACCAAAAGCATGAAATTTGAATACTTATATAATTAAATAATTACATTTTACATAATTGATTTCGTCTTCTTGTTAGAACCTTTATAAAATCACTAGTTCTATCAATATAAATTTCAACTGAATTTAAGATTACAACAT